TAACTAAATTAACCAAACTTCATTTTTAACCTAAAAATACCAAGCAAAATGAAAATTACACAAATTGACAAGTTTTTTCCAATGAAGGTTTTTAAAAAACAAACAAGCATATATATATTCTGAAGATCACTAACTTTCCTTCTGAAAAATAGTATAATTTTAATTTTTGACAGGAATAAGGTCTGTTTTCCTTGATTAATAGTCCTATCTTGGTTCCTCTCAGCCAAAATACCACAATGGTTTGAAACATCACACTGCATTTTTCCAAGTACCCATATGGAATCACTTTATTTAGCAGAGAGCCAGATAATGGGAAACCATTCCCAGATGTTTTAAATAAGGCAAAATATAAAATAAATATTATCTTTTCTTTACCCTCACTTCCTTTTCCTTTTCCTCACATAAGATAAAGTGTCTAAATAGGGCCAAATAATAAAGTAACTATTCAAAATTTCACTTTCTCCACAAGGGCCATTTCATTACCACAATCAACAGTAATTCCTCTATATCTGAATGCTTACACTACTATCTGTATGACAGACGACTATTCTACGGTTCTGTCATGTGTTGGTCTTGTCTCTTCTCCAAGAACATAAGCTCAAGGACCTGCACTAAACATCACTTGGATTCCTACAATCCTGATTACATAATTTAATATACTGATCAACATAAAATACTGAATACCAACTATATTCAAGTCACTATGCTAGCCAGTGACAATATCTGATTAAATTTTTATCAGAATTAATAATAACGTTGAAAGTACTACACAGATATAGGCAAGAAAAATGGCAAGTTATGCAACAGATAAATTTGGGAATGTACAGGATCCAGAAAATAGTAGAAAGTCTCATTCAGCTAAAAGCAGTGAACCCAAAAATATCAGAGATATTTTATTGATGTTTTCTTTCTCAGAAGCCAGAGGAAGCACTAAACTCAAATTCAACCCAATAAGGGCAGAACTACTTTGTAAAGTGGAAGAGATGGGAATGCTGGAGGATGGTAAATCTTGACATGTTAGCATTGGTGATACTGAAAAAAGAACACTGAGAACAATGAGATGTGTAAACTTTGTGAGTTCTGAGAAAAGACAGGTAGGGTCATGAAACAGAAAATTTTAAAAAGAAGGAAAATGACTCAAGAAGGCTGTAGGGTCACAAATGAAATTATCACATTCATTCATAAATGCCTGCCTCCTGACAAGCTACCTTATAAAAACTTGAAGACATGGTAAGTACAGATTAAAAGAAATCCATCACTGAAAGGTATTAAGTTACTTGTTTTTCCCATTTGATCCCATTTCCCTACTGTCTGTACTATTAAAAAAAAAAAAAGCTGGGCTCTTCTATGAAATTATAGTCCAATTTTAATTAGTTCTCTAAGACTTCAAGAGGAACCAGCATTACTTGGACAAAGATAGCACAATCTGTTCAGTGTTAATCAATGACATTGCCTCAATTTTTATCTTGCAATCTAACTGAAAAGCAAAATAATTACTAAATGAAAATTTATTCCGGCCCATTTGGCAAAAATACAGAGGAAAAAAGAAATACATATATATAATGTGTGTGCATAAAGATATAATTAGTTCACCAAATAGATCTAGTAGAAATCTCACAAAGATGCTACAATTTAACGAACACTGACACTTCCTTAGATCATTTGCTAGAAGTAAATTTTTTAGTTAATACAAATCTATGGGGCACCTGGGTGGCTCAGTCTGTTGACCGACAGACTCCTGATTTTGGCGTGTCTTGATCTCAAGCCCCACATTTGGGCTCCACGCTCAACTCCTGGAGTCTGCTTGAGAGTCTCTCTCTCCCTCTCCCTCTGCCTCCCCTCCCCCACCCCACTCACACTCCCATGTGCTCCCTCTAAATAAATAAATAAGTAAATAAAATCTTAAAAAAAAAATTCTCCTACTGAAAATACCAAACTTATAAAGCTGTAATTCTTTTACCATTTGAATGTTTTATAAATATGGATTACTCTTCCACCCAAGGAAAAAAGGTTAAATACAGTATGAAGACTTCTTAAAGTATTTTAATAGCACAACCATACTACTTACCTAGGTCAACAGACTTTCAGTAAATAATTCAGTAAGTCATTTTTTCTTTTTTTTTAAATGACTCAGTAAATCTTGCAAAATTAAATTGTTTTTAGATATCAGTGAAAGAAAGAAACTACTTTTGGTTATATATTTATTATTTTTTGAAGTATTATGAAGTTTCATATTAAACACATATCAATCAAAATATATACAAAAAGAAATAAAAATAATTTAATGTTTTAGATAATCCGTACTCTCAATCTTAACACTGTTTATAATGAATTATGACGCTCTTATTGAGTATTATAAAATCATAATCCAATTAGTAGCAATCAACATGCTACACTTGAATATAGGGGACATTTAAAAGGAGGCAGTAGCTCAATCCTAGAGAAACATCCTCTGAATTCCTAAAATATAATTTGTGCAATCAGGGGTTTAGTCAAAATCTTTAAAACATGGTACTAAGCACAGACTTACAGACTTATATTAATATTTATCTATTTTTTAACTGGATTAAGACGCTTACAGGCACCGATATTTTAAAACATACAATGCATTTGTATTTAAGCTGTACTGAAGTTCGTGCTATGTGTGCACATTTATAGAAAGTATTTAAGAAATATTTCTTCTTTTTATAACTTTAATTAAAATACAGTCTTGCCATCACAAAACTAAATTAAAAGCTAAAACCCTAAGACTTCTAGAAGAAAATTTCTGCAACCTGGGATTGGCAAATATATTTTATGTAGGACACAAAGAACATGAATCACTAAAGAAAAAGAACTGATTAACTGAACTTGAAAAAATGTAGAAAACAACACAGCAAACCATACTGGGAAAAATATCTGCAAAACACTATAAAGTTTTTCAAAACTCATCAAACTTTATCTTGAAACAGGTGCATTTTATGTATGCAATCTTACATCAAAGTTGATGATAAAAATTATAGTGCCTATCAATATAAAGCTATATGAAACAGTTTAGTCCAATGTTTACTTTTCAAAATATATGCATGAAAAAGACAGGCCAGGCATATATCATTGGCAAGATTACAGATAACTTATTTTTTTCTCTTTTGCTCATTTCCTTTTTGTTAATTTGAAAATGCTACTTGAGTCTAAATTATACACTTGATCTTAGCCAAAAGGCCGAGAAGCGATAGAGTCTAAATTATAAATATAAGTATCTCTCTCTCTTTTTTTTAAAGATGTATTTATTTCAGAGAGAAAGAGAGAGAGAGAGAGAACACACACACATATAGGGGAGAGAACAGAGTGAGAGAGAATCCCAAGCAGTCTCCCCGCTGAGCAGGGAACCCTATGCAGCGCAGACTTCACCACCAGCAATCACCACCCCAGCCTAAACCAAGAATCTGATCCCCAGTCAACTGACCCACCTACGTGCTCCATAACGATTTCTATATACAAAAAGTTTTAATGAGAAATTTTCAGTATGAACAGTGATATCAAACTGTAATAAGGAGGCACAGAAATTCTTTCAAATAGAATGAAGTCATGAAGTAAGGAATAACCTATTTCATTTTATTAACATGGTAGAAAACCATAGCAGATGCAATTAAGTTAAGTTCAACAATACGCCAGGGGGGCTGTACAAAGTGTGAGAATTTGAGGATATCCCTCGAGAAGTGACTATTTAATGGAGAAAAATGATCCTGTCAACAAATCAAATACAAAATAATTAAAGACTATAGTTTACATATGAAAGCACAATGAAACAGCAACTAAGGGGAAAAAAGAGAGAAAGACAGATGCAACTAACTAAACATGGGGAGTGTGGGAAGCATTTACAAAGGTGACATTTGGGCTACCCAGCAATGAGAAAAATCTCTTCCTGAAATGATTATCCTACATACTGAGTAAGGAACTTACACCTACTGAGAAAATTCCGTATGAAAGAGGGAAATCTGCCTAGGATTCACCAGGACAGAAAATGTACTCTTCGCACTTGCATTATATCTATATTTGGCAATAGAAGTCTCTGACACCATTCAAAAGTACAAAGACAAAATAATTAGTTAAACTACAATTTAAAAATTGTACACTTAACATTTGTTAGTAAATTCCAGTTGGCCTCATCTGATAACATTAAAACTTCTCATACCATTAGGAAGGGAAAAATCCAAGATGCTTCCCAATACTGAATCTGGGAATCCAGAATACATCCCTAATAGTACGTTTTCAAGCCCAAAGAAACGCTTATAAATATATGATGGACGGGGTAAACAATTACTCTATACTGCTAAGAATGATTATAACGCGGTAAAAAAGTAAATTCGTAACTTATGCAGAGAAAAAAAGACTGCGAGGTAGTGGGACCACAAGATAGACCACAGGCAGAACCTGTCCACCCTACTCCTTGTATTTTCCGTCATTTTGGAAACTTCTGCAGTTAAGGCATCGAAATGGAATTAAAAAGACTTTACTTAAACACATTTTGGGCAGCAGAAAATCCAGTTTTTGAGTGAGAAAGTCATTCCAAAGTAAAGGGACTTTGGGGAATCTGTGCGTAAAGAACATTCCCTGTTCTTTTCCCCCTCTTGACTTTGAGTCAAGGAATTACTGCAAGCAATTTAAGAAACACTATTTCCTGGTAGAGGTGATTTAGGAGATTGGAGGAAAAAGAAAAACGATTAAAACGATAAGTTGCAAGGGAGACTTCTGCAGTCCCGCAACAGCCAGCGAACTGAAAACTGGTATTTTTTTGAAACCGAAGCCAACGGAGGAACCAGGAGCAAGTCGAAGTCCAGCCAAAGGTTGGCGGCACACAGAGAACAATCGGTGCCAGATCCTTTTGCTTCCACCGCAAAAGACTCCCACCCCCCTCCAACTCTTTCTAAAATGTTCCTAATACCCACTACCCGCCCAGAAATACCTCCTCCCGGACAATCCCGACCATCCTGCGGGAGTGACAGGCTGTGTTCACTTACTGAGCTGTCCCCCGCCAGACGTCGTACTCGGTTCCCGACCTCCTCCGCCTCCAACGCCGGCTGCTCCAGGGATCCCCGGCGCCCCCATCCCCGGCGGGGTCCCACTCTGCCTTTCGAAGTTGCCTGGATTGGAGAAGTAGTCGCGCAGCCGAGGCAGTTCGCGGCCGCTCTCTAACAGCTCGGTGTGCAGCTCCAGGGCGGTCAGCAAGTATTGATCGCGCAACAGCTGAGCCGCGATCGCATCAATTGACAGTCGGGCAGGGGTCTCCCCGCAGCCCCCCAATGCTACCGCAGCCGCCGACACCTCCCCAGGGAGCCCTGGCCGCGCACTGCTCCCTAAGGCCACGGGATCTTGGGGCGATAGCGAGTCCGCAGAGCCAGGATCTAGGCCGCTCCCGGAACCCAGCCGAAGTCCTGCCCGCCGCTCCTCGGTCGCCGCTACCTCGTCGTCGTCCTCGTCCGAATCGCTGAGGAATGGATTCACACCGCCGCCACCACTGCCACTACCTCCAGGCGCCATTGCCGCCATCTTATCCTGTCAGGACTGTGGGCGCCTCCCTAACTGGCTTTGACAGGCCGCAGCCTGGATTCCCCCTAAGCCTCAGCGGGCACTGCGCACCTCCACAATCCTGGCCTGGCCACGTCCCACCTCCCTACCCGGAGACCAGAGTAGGCTCGGAGGCAGAAGGTCCGGATGCAGCAGCACCCGCTACCTCAGCCACTGCTGCACCAGCAGCGGGGCTCTGCAGGCGTCTTCCTGGTCTCAGTCTCGCGAGAAAGGGTGCGAGTCCTGCCCCTCTCCCCGCCCAAGCCCTGTCCCAGCCCCGCCCGTTCTCAACACCAGTGAGAGAAGATTGAAAGCCCCGCTCCCCGCTCAAAGGCAAAACCCCGCCCCCACTCCTGTTTGATTGGCCAGAGGTGGAGAGAGGGGCTGGAATTACCGATGGCTGGCTCTAGAATTATCGCGAGAGCAGGCTCCCGGCAGGTAGGTTTCGGGGGGCGTTCCGTAGTTGAGAGGCAGTTATGACGGTGGCTTAGGAACGTTCTCTCCGCTCTCCTTTCAGGGGTCAAAGGGGAACTCTGCGCGAGAGCTGGATTCTGCCTTTGCGCCGAGGAGGCCTCCTTCTCGAGATAACGCCTGAAAAGCCCAGGTAAAGCCCGGGGACCAGAGGTTCGGTGGCACCAAAACTGGCCTCACGCCCGCGGGCGCGCTGCTTCCCTGGCGCTCTTCACTTTTTCTTGTTGTTTGCAGCTGGTGGGTGGTACTGTCTTCGCTCGTGTAGCAGGTGTCCAGGGCAGTACGTGTAGCAAGTTCCCAGGGCAGTACTTAGAATTTGACTTCCTTTCTCTTCCCTTCCCAGTCAAGTGCCCGATCGCTCTGGAGGCCTGGCGAGGGCACCGGCTGCTTGAACTTCTGGAAGACCGCCTTCTAGCCTCCGAGTTAGTGCTGTGAAAGGGCGGGGCGTGCTGGGCTGTGGGAGGTGGAGGAAGTAACCGGACAGAACTCTAGAGTTTTGGATTTCGTTGGATTTGTGGATAGATACCCTGAATGAGCACTTGGCATTTAAAACACGGTTTGCACAACAGGGACTCTTGAAAGTGTTAAATGCAGCCCCATCAGTAGAGAGGTAATGCAAACTTAAGCCTAGAGACGTTCAACGACCCGGTCAGGTCAACTCCATTATAAGTATTCAAATAAAATCAGTTTTCTTTTTGGGCGCCTGGGTGGCTCAGTGGATTAAAGCCTCTGCCTTCGGCTCGGGTCATAATCCCAGAGTCCTGGGATCGGGTCCCGCATCGGGCTCTCTGCTGAATAGGGAGCCTGCTTCTCCGTCTTTCTCTGCCTGTCTCTCTGCCTACTTGTGATCTCTCTCTCTCTGTCAAATAAATAAATAAATAAATAAATATCTTTTTAAAAATAATAAAAAAAATAAAATAAAATCAGTTTTCTTATGTGCAAAGCCATTCTTCTCGCACTAGCCTTCCAGCCTTTCTGGCTTGGCCATTTAGGCTGGAATTAAGGTATTGACTGTGGAACATACTTATTTTAAAGCTTGGATGCTTTGCACAGTTTTAATTTCCTTTATCAAATCTTAGCACTAAATTTTGGAAGTTCCACCTTTATCTTTTAGGTCATTCTTTACAGTGCAAGGTGGTAAAGGAGATGCTACTTTCTAGTCAAACGGTATTGGAATGCTAGTCCTAAGATCTATTTTCTTCACACATAAATTGCCGCTTTTGCAAGGTTTTAAATTTCCTTTCTTTCCGTATAGCTCCCTGTAAAGCACCAAAATAAATAGGTAGCAGTAATTTTGTTATCGGGTGAGTTACATGTTACCCTGAAGTAGTAAAGTATCTCCTTTAGCTCTGTGGAAAAATAAAAACAGAGCATTCTTATATAACCATAGGTCAGGTTATTGGCTTACATGTGAAAGTATGCCAATGGTTAAGTGTAGGCTTTAATTTCAGTTTACCTAGGCTCAGAAAACTGAAATTTTCATTTGAATGAGGCTTTGGGTTTTTTCTTCTGTTTTTGCTGGAAACTTTTTTTTTTTAAACCTGGTTAGTACTAAGAATTCAAAATATTTTTTTTTATAGAACATGAGCTCCTAATGTTTGAATTCTAAGTATTTTTCTATGCTATATATATGGAAGAAAAACATGAAAAAAGAATCCCCAATCTTAGAAAAATAGTATCAAGATAGCCAATCCTATATCCTGTTATTGTTTGTCAGCAAAAAAGGATTGCTTATACTTACTGTAGTTGAGTTTGCCAGAGAGATTGAAAATGGAATCAATTTCTGGAATGGAGAAATGGGAGGGAATATGAATGGCATGGAAAGGGCATGGTTGGAAATGTATTATTTATATACAATATTTCCATCTCTGTAATGGAAATTTTAGAAATCCCCTGCACTTAGGGTCCCTGAAGAAGATAGTCCTTGTCTGGCAGAAGTGCCTAGAGTTCATGTTCCAATTCTGCCAATTATTTGCTGTAACACCTTAAGTTACTTAACTTCTCTTAGTCTCATTTAACATTTATCTGTCAGGGGGATTAATGAAAGTACACAGCATTAGGAATGTGCTTGTCACAGTACGTGGTACCCTATACCACAAATGTTATTATGGTCAGTTATAGGTAGTGCAATATTAGTATATATTCAAAGTATTGAGAGGTTTTTAAAAATAAAACAAGAAAAATTTCAACTCTTCAGCCATTAAACCTGGAAAAAGCAATTAAGTCAGTAGGGTACAAAGGGAGTATCTTTAATTTAGGGTCTGATTTCTAAAATGTAATTTGAAAATATATTTAAAATATGTTTTCTCAGAGAGCTGTAAGAAGTTGGATGAAGAAGTGCTTCCATGATTGACTTCCTGTATAAATCTGTAGTTTCCTGATTCTACTTCGTATCCTATAATCATGGACTTGTTTATATGACCTTCCCAGCCCATAACAGATCAACTGGCCAGTTTTCTCAGTAAGTACTTTTATTTTCCACAGTACATAGAGGTGTACTTATCAATAAAACTTCTTAAGAAGTAGCACATACTGGGGCACTAGTGTGGCTCAGTGGGTTAAGCCACTGCCTTCGGCTCAGGTCATGATCTCAGGGTCCTGGGATTGAGTCCTGCATCCAGCTTTCTGCTCAGCAGGGAGGCTGCTTCCTTCTCTCTCTCTCTGCCCACTTGTGATCTCTCTCTGTCAAATAAATAAATAAAATCTTAAAAAAAAAAAAAAGAAGTAGCACATACTAGAATGTTAATAATTGCTAATCTCTGCTTATAATAATTTATTAATATGGTTGGGAAATTTTCTCCTTAGCAAAACTTACATTAATGTAGGTCTTTGCAGCTAAAATTTGAATAATGAAGATAGTCATTGAACTTTGTATTTTAGCAATAAAACGTTAAAGATTTTTTATGCTTGTAAACACTTCAAATATTTTAAAGATTTTATTTATTTATTTGACAGACAGAGATCACAAGTAGGCAGAGGCAGGCAGAGAGAGAGAGCGTGGAGGAAGCAGGCTCCCCGCTGAGCAAAGAGCCTGATGTGGCACTCAATCCCAGGATCCTGGGATCATGACCTGAGCCAAAGGCAGAGGCTTTAACCCACTGAGCCACCCAGGCGCCCCAACACTTCAAATATTTTAGGGCTTAAAAACTAATTTATGGTTTTAACAGTCTTAAAATAATCACAGGTAATATTTTAAATGCAAATTTTTGGTTAATGTGAAATTTTAGAAATATGTAATCTTTAAATTGTTTTTTAATGCCTGTAAACATTCCACAGGTATAAGCTAAATAACTTTTATTGGTACATGGATATGTATGTTTTAAAATTTTTAGTAGTTATTCATTTGTTTTGAGAGGTTTCCAAACAATTCAACCATGACAAAGTTTTCTTCAGTAAATCTGAATAAAATGTGGTTCTCTTTAAAGAGCAATGTTAATAAAATTACTTAATATACATGTGCTTGGCAATAATAAAATAATTAGTATGCGAAGGATGATATTTTGGAATCCAATTTTATGTATAGTAAATGACTCAAGCATATAAGTTTGATTTTTGTTTTGTTTTTTAAGTATCCTGAATCTTCACAATTCAAGTGTTTGTTCTGGGGAAGTAAAAAGAAAAACAAGGCAGCCTCTAGTGGCTATAGTGCATATTACATGTACCTTTGAAATGATAATCCTAAATAATTTCTGCAGCACATATCTGAGTCCTTACCAAGCCCATAGGACTGTGATGAGTGCTGGAGGAGCTCTGTCTTGCTGTCATGGAATTACAGTTAAGTGATAGAGACAGACATTAATCCAAATGGTAAAAACCGAAGTATGTATTTATAAACTTGAAGTAAAGGCTCTGGTTTTTGGTTCGGACTGCATCGTTTCTGGGGAAGTGATGCTTGAAAGTGCATGGAGGTGTCGTGAGACAATGGAGTGAGAGAGGATAGAGGGTGGGTTGGAAGTGCAATTTATGCAGAGGTCTTAATACCAGTAGGAAGCATGGGCTCCTGACCATGCTTGTGATGCCATAAAGCAAAGAGGAGCGCCATGGGACAAGGCTAGAAAGGGAGGGAAAGACCAGTCCGTGTAACACCTTCTGTGTTGTATTAAGGATTCTACTTTTGATTATGATGGGGGAGAGGCACTAAAGGGTTTTACCCAAGGGATGAGGTGTTCCTATATGCATTCTGAAAAAAGCAAAATAAAAAAGTAATATGTGGCTATACAACTGAAGAATGGGTTATAAAGAATGACTGACTGCTAAGTTTTCTGATTGGTATACCTGAGTAGAAGGTGGTGCCATCTCCAGAGACTGTAAACACTGGAGAGTTAGGAGGTTTACTACCTAAACAAGGTTCATGGGGAATATCATGAGTTTGGTTTTAAACATACTCAGTTTGTGTCTCAGGTGGATGTGTTAAGGTTGGAATTACATATATGTATTTGGAGCTATCTGTTAAGACTTTCACAAATAAGTGCTAGCTGACACCAGGGGTAGGGTCAAAAAAGCCTAGACAGTGGGGTGCCTTGCTGGCTCAGTTGGGGGAGCATGCAACTCTTGATCTCATGGTGGTGAGTTTGAGCCCATGTTGGGTGTCTAGATTACTTAAAAATGAAGTCTTGGGGCTCCTGGGTGGCTCAGTGGGTTAAAGCCTCTGCCTTCGGCTCAGGTCATGATCCCAGGGTCCTGGGATCGAGTCCTGCATCGGGCTCTCTGCTCAGCAGGAGCCTGCCTCCCCCTCTCTCTCTTCCTGCCTCTCTGCCTACTTGTGATCTCTGTCTGTCAAATAAATAAATAAAATCTTTAAAAAAAAATGAAGTCTTAAAAAAGTCTAGACAAAAAGTATAAGAGTGAGAATAAAAGAAACCCTAGGACCAAATTTTGAGTAATTCCAAAATTCATTTACCAGATAGAGACCCCTCAATATTGGACAGAGAAGTAGGAGAAAAACTGGAGCAATGTTCACAAAAACTAAGAAATGATGGCTGTTTAAGAAAGAAGTCATGGTTAAGGAAGACAAATTGAATGGAAGAAGACTAAAAAAAAGCCACCGGTTTTTTAATATTGGCTACATTACATTAGTGGAAGTTTTTTCTCTGATGTAGTGGAAAACAAAGGCTCAAATTGTTTGAGTTTTAGAGGATCAGGGAAAAAGAGATCATATTATTTTCGAGAATTTTGGCTGTGTTGGGGAGAAAAGGGCAGCCAATGCCTTTAACAACATTCTTTAGTAATCCTTTATTTGTAAGATACATTTTTGGCATAGGTGTGGCTTGACTTGTTTTCCATACTGTATAATGTTTCCCTGAACAAAAACTATATCTGTTCCTCTTGTTAGATATTGTTTCCAACTTTTATGATACAAAGAGCAAAAGACAAGAATTGCATTTAAAGTTTTTTTTTTTTGCCTGTATTTGTATTTGATATAGAATTTACCTTAAGACAGTCTAAAGTGGTAGCTATACTAGTGCTTCCATCAGGTAATTAAAAGCTTCAAACTAGATCTCTGTCTCACACCACATACAAATAAATTCTAGATAATGCCAGGTGAAAAGCAAAAATCTTAAACTTAGAATTTAGTTCTAATTTAAAACTATTTTTATGTGACATTAAAACAAGGGAAGTTTTCTTATGGAAAACACAAAAAAACTTACTCCAGAAAGAATAAATTTGGTAAATTATACTGTATTAAAGTTATAAAACTTCTATTTAACAAAAAGCACCATAAACAGATTTGTGTTTGCTTTGTTGCATGTGTGTTGCAAATAAATATCTATATGTCTATATCTATATATAGAGAGATACACAGGTACACACGTATATAATATAATGTACAAGTCTAGGAAAAAAGGCCAGCAAGCATAATCTTATGGGATCAAAGGATACGGACACGCAGTTGAAAGGATAGGAAACCCAGTTGGCCAGTAAAAACATGAAAAGATATTCACTCTGAGTAGTAATCAGGCAAATAGATACTCAAACAATAGGATGCCATTTCATCCTGTGTCGGTTGCCATAAGGTAAATATGATAGTAACAGTCAATTATGGGGATTTAGAGAAAACATGAATTCTCATACACTGCTGGTGACACTTTGCTACTATCTTGTAAAGTGGAGAATATAGGTTTACTCCAGCAATTCCACTTAATAGAGATGATTTTCAAATTTATTTGTACGTAAAATAGTTTGAAATACTTTTTTTCACTATCACAAGCTGTATTCATACAATGTACATGCATGCATGTGCACACATAGAGAGAAAATAAAATACTTTTTCAGAACCATCATTTACCTTCCTACTTCTGAAGTACTTTATTGTGATGTATTCTCTATCCTACCCTGTTCTATTTCATTTTTTTTTAAAGGAGCTAATTGCAATCCACCAAATTAATTTTGTGAGGGATCATCATTCTGTTTGTCATTCTGAAAATCTCCCAAGTTTACCATGAGAGATGGGCTAAATTGCAGCATTCTTTGTAGTAATGACAACCGGGGACAATGTCTATCAAGATAATTTTCAAATAAATTGTAGTATAGTTATATAATAGAATATATGTCTAAATCTTTAAAATAATATATAAATTTTTGATAGTGCTGGCTAGAATAGGCTCATAAAAGGAATAATGGCTTGCATGTATACTGAGAAAAATTATTTTCTAAGTAGGATGGGGAAAGCATGAGTGCAAATATTAGTGATTATAATGTTAATCTAATCTTGTAGAATGAGAGCTTTTATTTTTTTAAAAGATTTTATTTATTTATTTGTCAGGGAGATAGAGTACAGGCAGGTAGAGTGGCAGCCAGAGACAGAGGGAGAAGCAGGTTCCCTGTGGAGCAAGGAGCCAGATGTGGGGCTAGATCCCAGGAAGCTGGAATCATGAGCCGAAGGCAGCCACTTAACTGACTGAGCCACCCAGGCATCCCAGAATGAGAGCTTTTAATCACATTATTGACTGAATTTAAAATGTATACCCTCCCTGTGGAAGAATTCAAATAATCTATGTAGGTACTTCATGCTCTCAGAAGATAAGAGTATAACTCAGTATAACTCCCTACTCCTTAAGTATTGGTTGTACATATAGCAGCTTCCTTCCAAAGAGTACAATATGAAATCATTAAATTTATAGTGGAGAAACCTGACAAACACGACCTCGGTCAGAGGATCAAGTTTAATATCATTTGTCGAAAAGCCTTGTTGATGGCATACACCCCTGTGTAAGATGTGATAAAAATGACACCTTACACATGTGGTTTTCCTTCCTCTTCTCTTCCATAACCCCATTCTAATCATGAGAAAAATATCAGACAAATTCCTACAAGAGAAGTCTCATACAATATACCTGACTAGGACTCTTCAGAACTCGCAAGGTCATCAAAACAGGCAAACTCTGAGAAATTGTCCCAGCCAAGAGATGCCTAAGGAGACATGATAAGTAACTGTACTGTGATATTCTGGAACAGATAAAG